TTTTTATGGTTACCGATGTGGGGCAAGATGTAAGAATTCCAAATTTTCCATTGTAAAAGTAAAGCCACGCGTGGAAGGAATTTCTTTTCACATATCTCATATTTATTTCTTATTATTTTATTGCCCAATGTGGGAGTATGAGGAAATATTTCTTTTTTTTCCATATTTTTGTACTATTATTTTATTGGTTAATCTATATATGGTGGGACCAACCTTCTAAAATATAAGTCAATTATATTTAATATTTATAAAATATTATATATTTAAAATATCAATAAATTAAATAACTTAAAAGTTAAGTTAACTATATCTATGAAATATTATATATATTTAAAAATATCAATAAATTAAATAACTGTCCAACCGATTCAACCACTGGTCGGACCAGTGAACCATTGAACCAGCATCTTGATCGGTTCGATGACCTATCTGGTTTTGACAACCTTGATATAAAGAGATTAAGATACTGTGTTAATATCCGACGTAAACTAAATAAAAAATAAATGTGTCTATAATGTAAAAAAAGCTAAGAAACTAAGTAAGGACTTAATATATATTGTAGATGCATCATTTTTTCTATTTTTTATGGCGATTGGAGAAGTTTTAGTTTTCTTCACTTTTTAAACTTCTCCTCGCACATTCATCACCACCTGCACCTTACATCTCAGCATAGGGATGATTTTTGTGATTACAATTTTGCCATTAAAATATATTAAACATAAGGGCATGTCTGTACATTTTTTTTTTTTTATACAAAACCACTCTTTTTTTTTTTTTTTTTTGAAGGAAAGTATATAGAAAGATAGATATAGATTACCATATAAAGAGAGTCGATCTTGGTTGCAACCAGATCATCTAAGTTGTCGAAAGCGTGATAATTTAATATCATTCTAGTACACACTTACTTTTCTGTGTCTAACAATGCGATGTGGACTAATGGCGAGTTAAAATTGTTGAAGAAAGGTTCTGCGAGTTTTTCAAGATTCGATCATGCATGTGCTTATTGTACTTGAAGATTCATCTGCTCGCGACCAGGTGGGATGAAAAGGGAGTGAATTTAAGATTACGAAGTCGATGGTACCTGTTTCAATGCATACTCTCTCATTATTGCAGCCAATAGTAAAGAGGGCAAGAGCGTAACTTCACTTGAAGAATTTACGGTTCATTGAACTGACCAAAGTACATTAATATGCAGTTTATTCAAATAGAAACCATCAGGTTGAGCATCCAAAGGCATGAGCACAAGCAAGAATGGCGATTGAATAATATTTAACAATCATGAGAGTGCACGCAATTGATTGCACTTTCGTGTTTTTGTACATAAACATAGACGAATAACAATATACTTATTCACAAAGCAAACCCGTGATTATGGTTAGGAAGGGATTAGCGAACTATCTACAGGAAGTCCCATTGCCGATAAACCTTGTCCACAATCCCACCCCCACTCCTAACCGCAAGGTGAAGAGTCTCTGAAGCCGGTGGGACCCCCCAAAGCAACGGCACTGCAACAGTCATTTTTAGCTTCTCGTGCAAACCCTCCTTTGTCGCCTTCTCCGCTGTCACAACCTGCAAACTCAAATCAGAAACTCTTATAATGCAGTGAATTATGAAGAATTATCACATATTTCATGTTGTTATGAAAAAACGCTAAATTAGAAAGTTATTTTTGCGCTATAATCTTCGGGAGCTATGAACAGATTAATTTTTCAAACATATAAACTACCTCTCCACCATGCTCCAAAACAGTGTCCTCCACGACATCACAAAGCATCTCAATCGAGCGACAGAAGCCAAAAATACAGAGGCGTCTACCCATATCAAGACCCTATATTTTAACAGTTTTAACAAAAAATTTAGGAAATCGTTGACACGGGTGAAACTATTCATAGTATTAATAAAATCTTTACGTTAGTTGCTGCAATATCAAAAAGTGCACCCAAGCATAGGCTTTGATTTGGATCCATGTAATTGCTCTCTTGAAACCGTAGAGATCTTTGAGACATTTTCGCCTTCACTTGTTTCTTCTGCATGGTTGTCAAGTACAGAATCGATTTTAGAAATTCCGAGTGAGACTACTGGCAACGGAATTAAAATATATGATAACCAAAATATAAAAGGATAATCCAATAGTCTGCAAATAGATTTATAAGCATCACCATCACACAATTGGTACTTTCATGTCTGAAATGACATCATAAAAAGTGGTCAAACCGGTTAGAAACCAATCAAGTTCAAATTTTATCAAAAACTGAAAACGTAAGAATCGCAACAAGAAGAGAAATTCTGAGGAGCACCGCAAAAGTTTCAAGTATGTTCTAAAATACTGGAAAACAAAATGCAAGAACAAAGCAAATGACTTGTGAATATGCACGTCGTTTGGCAGCTGAAAAAAAACAACAACAACAATATCACCATTACGGGTTTGCTAAATGCAAAAGGATATTCGAAAGTCTATACAATTTGATTTCCTAATCTAGCATTTCATATTGCAAAAAAGGGCCTGCTAGGCCCAAAATATCTATATACACAATGAATAAAATTATCCGCAACATCCCTAATGTATTATCAGCACCAAGCTATTAAAATCTTCACAATCATCAAGGGAATCAGGATCGAATAACATGAAACATAACCAGAAAAAAAAAAAAGATTAACATACGTCAGCTGAAGAAACGCGACGAGGAACAAGATTCCCCCCAATTTGGATTAGACCATCACAAGTAAACAATGTCACTCTATCCTCTGAAACCCACTGCACATCTACAAAACAAGCAAAAACACAGAAATTAAAAAGAGTCAAACAATCAAAAGGAAATTTTTTTAGCTCCGTTCAAATATTTCCCCCAAAACCCTAAACAAGCGAACTCAACAGATACACCACAATAGTTCCATCTTAAGAGACGTTCAAACCAACTCATCATCTGAGAAAACAAAAACAACCAAAAAAATAAATAGGAAATACAAAGAAACAAGCAGCAGCCCAAATAATTACAAGATTCAGCTGCATCCAGATTTTCCCACGGGTAGAACCCGAAATCGTCATCTCCGGGGAAATGGGCCGACCCGGATGCTTTCAAGGCGAACCCTAGAGGCGGCGATCGCCGGCGATCGAGCTGCGAAGGGAATCTGCGCGAAGCAAAAGAGAAGGTCGGGGGAGACGAAAATGGCGACTCCTTAGCGAAAGGGAGCGAGCTGGAAAAGGCCGAAAAGCAGAGGGCCGAGGTGGTTTCAGCCATTGATCGATTTTTGGCAGGAAAATTAACAAAACAAAAAAGTATCACCAATTATGGGGAAAATGAGAGGAATGCGAGGGAGATGAAGTTGATAAAAATGGCGTCTTTGAAAATTGAAGGATAGAATAATGAAAACGAGGACTGTCTTTTTTCTCCTCTCTTGATGCACAAAAATGTTGGAAAAGCGATGGCCACATATTTAGGGGCGGCATGCGGACAAACAGACGGTTTATTTACGGCTTGAGGAATAGACGAACCCGGTTTAAAACGGTTGATGGGTTGGCCCCCATGTGTGTTTTCCCGCATTTTTGGCAGCTCTTATTCTTATATTTTGTTCTCCCCACTATTTTCTCTAAGGAAAGCATGAGTAAGAGATATTTTTTATTATTTATAAATTTAAAATATTTATAAAATAATATTTATAAATTAATAAGAGAGAATTAATATATAATATTTTTTGCCTATATTAATTTAGTGAAATATTATATGACATTTTAAATTGTACAAAGTTACATAAAACATATTTATTTAAAATTAGTACACAACTCGTATGGTGCACGTAACTGATAATAAATTAAATTATATTCATTTTAAAAACAATTTTCATTTTATTTTTTTTTTTTCCGAATTTTGATTTGACTACAACGTGATTCCATAAAATAACTATTTTGGTAATATTTTATCATATATTTAAAAGTCTTTGTGAATATAAGTATAATTATAAAACTTATATTTTCTACTAGTTAAAATAAACTTATCTTCGTATAAACTATCCAAATAAAAAAATTTAAGTAGTTGGGTAACATATTAAACTATAAATAATTAACTATTTCATTTACGACCAAGTTAATATTGACCAATAAGTAATGAATAATTATTTATTTGACTTTTAAATTTGAAACGCAAAATTGAATTACACAATAAATTTCACCATCTATAATTCACTGTGCGAATGGGTGACATCAAGCTCTCCCTGGCTTCTTTCCTTCCATCTTGGCCTGCAGCTACTTCATTTGCTCGACCATCCTCTCCACCTCACTATCTGCTCTTCCACCAAAGCTGCTGGACTGCTCAACCTCCGTATCTTTCTTCGTGGTCGCGGTAATAGTAATCGCGTTGGACACCTATTGTTGAGCGCTACCTGCCCCCACGACGTTGGCCATCATCCTACTCAGCTCCTCTTTCCTTCTCGTGATGGTTGTTGACATGCTGTACTCCTTGGCGATCCCATCAGCAAGACTGCAGCTAGATTTGGCTGCATCTATGATGGAACCATGACCTCCTGGCTCGATCTGACCTCTGATGAGTTGCTCGAGCCCGTTGCTTCAACAGGGACCACCGATGAGCTCCATAAGCCCATAGGATGTGATATCAGGTTCATCGAGGTCTGAGATGGCTCGGAGAAGCCCAGTGAAGGGCCTGCTCCGAGCGAACATGTGATCGTCCACGCATCATCAAAAGTCAACTCTAGAATTTTGTTGGGAATGTCGCTCTCCATGGCTGGATCTCACGTATGGCTTTTTGAACGTTCTCACAGGCGGCGCCATATGTCATGTAAAAGATCTCAGGCCGCTTGGTTCATCCTGGATTGTCTTCCTTGCAAGACCTTCAATACCTGCACAAACTCAACGCCTGAGTGGTTTTCCGTTGTAGAGCCTCTGATACTTAAGTCAGAACGTGTATGAAAACAATGAACAATATGTAGAGCTCTGCAATTATAGAGTGTGTGAATATTGTGTAGAGTTTGAATTGTCATACCTCATCCCTTTATATAGGGGTGGTGTCTTATTGCCCAAGTCTGCCTGGATGAGCTGCTCGACTGCCAGAACTGCCCGTCCGCACTGCCTGGGTGTCCGAACTACCCAATTATGTTTGTTCATGTGGTCTAATCCACATGTGGTTTTTATTCTAATAATATTATTTTTTATCACTTAGTCTTCCTCATTAGACGGTCTAATCATGCGATCAATCTGATTCACCTCGAGGTAGAACATCTTCTTCATTGAGCTCGTTCTTTGTCCGTCAGGTTGATCCATTGATCCAACTATCTTCAGGTCAAGTTTCCACCAGGCCTTTCGAGGGCCCTAACTCGACCTGCTGGTGATCCATCTTGACTTTGCACCTTCGACCTACTGCCTTTCTGAACTCCTCGACCTTCAGCCTTCGATCGACCTGGTGGTGCATCTGGTTCAGTCGATCTACTTTCCGATTCAACTCGACCCAGTATGATATCCTATATCAGCACCCATAATAGCTTGGGAAATCGGTATAAGTGGTTATAGCTCGGGGCTGACCGGTTTAAGAGGGCTGCAACTCAATGTCAAGGTTTGACTTCATCAGGGAGCTCAGTGTTGAAGCTCATAACGCGAGTTGACTTGAACAAAGAAGTGAGCAGTCGAACTCTTTAGGTGGCTCGACTAGATGAGGGGTCATTACAACATACAGATTGTGCAACGGTGGTCGTGTCAGCGACCTGACAAAGGCACGTGGCTGAATGGGTCACGTGGATGTTGTAACAACCTAAGGACCTAAGAGTCATGTCAAGAAAGTACACAAAATCATAGTAAGGATGATAAGTGTATCTCACTAAGGAGTCAAAAATCTCGTAGACGTGTCATACTATGAACGAGATATAGTAGGATATCTTTCTTAGTAATGAGGCTACTTGGACATGAAGACAATCTTCCTATAAAGGAAGGTTACCAGGTTCTGTTATTACTTAATGCATATTATACTCTATAGTACATTTTTTTCAGAATTATTGAGCGAGATTTAACTTGAGCGTCGGAGGTTTTCTGTCGAAACTATTTTCCAGCGTGTTTTGCAGGTCACCAGAGCTCACGACGTAGGACGATTCATGATTTTGCCGGTCTAAAATTTGAATTGTAATGATCATATTTGTTTTACATTTGAATGTTTTTGTGACGTTGGGAATGATTGATTGTTTAGTGGAGCAAGTGACGTATTGAGCCCAAAATTGACAAGTTCGAGGTTATGCATTAATGAAGCAGATGTATACAACTGGATCGGCTAGTAATATTAGGCCCATTAGATTCCGACCTATTGACAGTTTATTGGGCTCAGTACTAACTAAGGCTTGAGGTGAACGGGCCTACCTCAGTGCTGGATATGTAGTAAAGTTTAATTTACCTTCAAATAGTTATCTTTGTGTCCCTCACGTACAAGCCTAACCATCTTGAATTTCAAAATTAAAGTCAAATAAAGCTTCTTTTTAATTTAAAGATACAGAGATCTCTGACAATCCTGTTGTCTTAATAAAGTTGCTTGTTTTAGTATCCAACAATTTTGACTAAAATTCAATTTGATTTTATTTTTTCATCTAAAAGTTCTCAAACATGTAAAGCGATTTGACTCCTTTGAGCTCTGAACTGTGACAGGTTACTTGTAAACTTGATAAGATTGTCAAAATTCCAAGGATCACTCTTTCCATTTTTAATTTTAGTTATATGAATGAATGCATTAGGTTAACAAAATAAGATATCAATTTGATATTCATGAACACATTTTTTGTGTCTAATAGGAACAATGGATAATTTGTTTAAATGAGATTGTGATTCATATTTTAAGTTCAATGTATTTCATTGTAAGAGCATCTCCAATGGAGATTGTGATGTATAACATGGAGAAAGGGAATTAAATTTTTTTGTCTCCAATGGTTAGTGTTAATTGTAGTGTCATTTGTGATGTGTAAAATTGTAATTGGTTGGAGAAGAAAGATAAATTGAATAAATAATATAATATATAATAGAAGTTGTTTAGAAGGACTTCTACATCTAGAAAGCCTTCTAGACATTTTTCAGGCCACGTCAGATTTTTTATGTCATGTGGCAGCAATGGAAAGACCATTGGAGATGCTCTAAGTGTATATTTCATTTCCAGTTTTTATAAATCGTACCTATTGAGCGGGCTAGCAAGGAGCCAAATTCGAGGAAACCTAGAGAAGTCATACATACGTTGATCTTCACCCAGCTCGGTCAATCCGGTTTGATCCAATCAATTTTTTTTATTTAAACATTTTTACTTTTAAAAGTAAAACTAGTACGTACCCCGTACGATATACGGGAGAGAGATATTAAATGAATTATTTTTACAGCCTCTGTCCGTTTAAGTCTGAGAAGGGTTATCATTCATTTTCCACCTCTAATCATCGTTAAGTCCCGTTTTAAGTCTGAAAAGGGTTTTCATTCATTTTTCACATCTTTTAATCACCGTTAAGTCTAAAAAAATTGGGTTATAATCTATTTTTCACTTCTTTTATCAGCGTTATTTTATAGCCAGAACATTAAACGTTAGCATGTTATGGCTAACTTGTAAAATAATTAATATATTATCTCACTAACACATTTATACTAATATAAATTTAATTTTATTATATATATTTATTCCTTGATATAAGAGAAAATAACAATTTTACTTATTCTTGTTCTCTATATAATAGTTAATTATTATTTTACTATAAACTATGTTGCCATATAATGTCATTATTATTTATAAAGTTATAAAAGTTTCACGTCTTCTTGTTCTTTTTATTTTATGCAATGAAATATTATTAATTCACGTTGGTATTATTTATATAAGTAATCAAATTAAAATATGTAAATAAATTTAAAATTAAATAGTATATAAATAATGTACAAAATAGACACATATATGTTTTTAGATATTTTTTAGAATTTAATTTTGTATACTAATTAAACAACTTTGATTTAAGAAAAGTCATGAACTCAATCTCTTCTAATATCAATATTTTTCTAATTTACATTATAATGATTATTCTTATTATATATATATAGATTAGAATTTTTGCGACACCAACCAAACTAAATATCACAACAACCAAACAATCAAGTAACAATTATGAAAAACCCATAACACAACAACTATCAATTAAATTTGGTAATAGAAAAATTGCATATATATATAAAAATATAAGGATTCACATATTTCTATTAACTGATGTATACAACACGTATATATTTTGTTAAGGTATATTGGAATATTCAATTTCATAGCATGATAACAATTAGTCTTAAAAAATCGAAAATCTTATTGAAATGCCATATTTTTCTGTTAAAAAAAAGTTTCCATAAAAAATAGTTATATCACAGCAAATTCATTGTGTAATTGAACAATTTTTATAAGGAAGCCTGATTTTATGTACAAAAATAA